ATCTCAAATTATGATCGAAAACATCTATAAATATAATTCTCTTCTGAGAGACGCTAGAAAACAAGCTGTAAACGCGCTCCTTACCATCCCCACCCCTACATGGTCTTAGTGAGCTGTGTTCACTCTAAATGTTTACAAGCAGAGCCGGGTTTAGTGACGACTATTAGGGGCAGATAATTTAGTTTGAAACGATTTTAAACGTAGGGGGGTGGGGACGGAGGGGGTGGGGATGGAAGGGGGTGTTATGGTCCATAACGTGCAACTTATAGTGTTTTAAAGAAATATTTTCAGTGGCAGCGTTGGTACCGTCGAATTCACAAATTAAGAATTACTGAAAAGTAGAAAAAACAACAACTAAATAGCGGCGTATGTTATGCCGCGGGCCGGCTCGTACCATATAGTTTTGTCAGTTCACAATGTTTCCACCATGTCGCAGCTGGCATGTAAATCTAATAACACTACCAATATGTTCACAAGGATTTTTTAAGACAGCTTACCTAAAAATGAAGCGGGAGTGATCTCCCCTAAACTTTCTCGAGTATTCTTATAAAACACTACGGGGGATGGCTACTCGGGATATAGACATGCTTTTTAATCAATTTTATAAAATTTAGCTTTTAAAAATAGAATTGAATCGCGTAGAAAAAAAGAATTACGCACCAAGTGAACAGCAAACAATACGTGTAAAATTAAAATAGTAAGGAACAATAGCACTTTATTCATTCATATAAGTTTCTGAGAAATCGGAAATAGATTAAAGTATTACTTTCGGGCACTGGAAATTACAAATCATTTGACAGAAAACAGAGAATTAGATCTTTTACTTATATGTGAAATTTCGTCAATCAGAGAAACAGTATTTAAGTAATATGCTTTTAAAAAACCGAAAGTAGACTAAGTTCCACTTCCGGTTACCGTAAATCGCTGAAAAGTTGATACCGAACTACAAATTTGATACGATATTAATACATATGACATTTCATCATCCTATCTGTAAAGGTACTTAATTTATCGTTTTCAAAGACAAGCATACACACATCACACACACAGACATACGGACACAATTGCAAAACTATTTTTTCCGTCTCATGGAGGTATAAAACGTCGATTTTTTCACGATTACATACTTCCTTTATACTTCGTAAACGAGAAAGTAATAGTTCTCGAAACTTTTTATTTGGAATGAATTATTAGTATCATTAATATATTTCACAAGTGGTGGAAATAAGGCATATGTAAATGAAGAGTAAATCAAAAACTCTTTTTAAACTGAAAAAAATGAAAAGACTTACGTGTAGCATTGGTAGCTTCCCTTATAACACTCACATTTCTGACATCCCTCGGGGTACCACGATTTGCCTGGTTTAACTCCTTTGGGACAAGATCCTAGTAAAATAAAGAAAATGTACGGTTGAAAAAAACCCAGCAATCACGGTGGTTTTGTTTGTTGGGTGAATGTATTGGCAAAATATGCAATCCAAATTTTAAATTAAAAATTCTAGCGTGTGTAATGGGGTCTACGATTATATTTATCTGCGACATTACTACTATAAATTACACTATAACTTAGGTGAAGGCGTGGTCTAGCGGTAGAGCGCTAGACCGCTAATCCAGGTTCAAGTCTGAAGAATGTCCCAGAGTCCACTCAGCTCTAATGGATACCTAACTCACGTTAGGCCTAACCACACTATACATTCTTGTGAGGAGGTCTTTGAAACAGATGAGCTCTACTTCATCTGCCCAAGTGTCTAGACGACACCATATCTTCATTGATAAGTACGACATAAGACACATTTCCGTGCATACTAATTAGACACATTAAAGATTAATACTTGTAATTGCTATGCATAATTCAATTTCATGTTGCCACTATCTTATTCATAAACTATCCACAAATCATGTCTAGTAATTACTCTGTACTCGTCTCGCCATACTCACACTGTACACATTAATACAGATAAAACAACAGCAAATACTCTCTATGATCAATATAAACTAACCCTTAAGCTTCTTTAGTCATTATTTATGTATTACTCCAGGGGTCTCCAAACTACGACCCGCGGACCGGATGCGGCCCGCGATGTCCTCTCATCCGGCCCGCGGAGATCTTTTTGTCCAAGGAAAAATCGTTTGTCGGTGATTGCTGAGGAACTTTGCCCAGAAATATCATACCTGGAAGAAACTGGCCCCCGAACTTCTTCTCTTCTTCTTCGTTCTTAATTTTTAGTGTTGGGAGGGATCGAGCCTTATCTGCCAGAGGGTTGAACTCGATACTTTTTCGAATTTATCAACCATGAGCTTTTGACGACTCGACCACGCCTCCATCACAATTAAGGATACGTGTCAACTGGTTATGCGCCATTGAGGCCATTGACTCCGATTTCAGCCTGCTTTTCTTTTTGGATTTGCTTCCATAGCCTTTGTTCAACCAAGAACAAACTACAAGGCAGCAGTTGTTTGATATTGAAGTTGTCTCTCCTAGAAGAGTTGCTGTCCCCAGCTAACGAGCCTCATCTGCCCGAGGCCGCCGAACTGAAATTTGATAGTCAATGTGGACTGAAATGTTTGGAAACCCCTGTATCACTCTATCGCCAGACCAGTCACAAAATAATTCCACACTATGATAGCTTGTGTTGTTTCTACTCTACTTTAAGGACAAGATCAAAACGAAAAAAGTAACTAACATCACGTAAAAAAATAAATTAAATTAATTTAAATCTACATCTCTTACCTAATCCCATGGATACTGAGGCCGAGGCGAAGCTGACTAGACCGAGACAGACGACGAGGGTTAAAACTATCTTGTTCATTTTGGACTGGTACTGTGTGATCACCACGTGAAATCTTTGCTAGAGTAGACGGAACACCAAACCACGTATTTTATAGATCTAAAACCTTTTTTAACCGTGTTTCAATGTTAATTTCAATAAATTATGCAAATTGGATTGCTTCAGAATAAATATCCGTTGACAGTTGACGTAAATAAGCAGTTAATTTCTCATCAGATAGTAATTTAAAATGTGTAATTAAATCAGAAGTGACACTAATTACATGTTAATTTGCTGACACGGTTATTTCTAGTGTACTGCTCTTAAACCTGAAAACAAGTATAGCGTGAGCCAGTGGTGTAGGTACCGATGGTTGTTTTCAATGTGGTGATGTATCCTTCACGGGAACCAAATAATAATATTTGTTCTACGTTTAAGCAGTTGACGGTGTAACGATTGTGCCAGTTTATATTTACATTATTAAAATTTTATTTCTAATACACACACACACACACACACACACACACATATATATATATATATATATATATATATATATATATATATATATATATATATATATCTGTCTACGCCACTGGTCTAAGCAATTATACAGAGACTTGTGACAGGTGTTAACTCTGTGTGTATGTATCGGTGTCTATTTATCAATGTGCCTGTTTTTTTTTGTTTTTTTTTTAATCTCTATGTATTATGTTTGTGTTTGTTGTTGGTGTTATTATTCGTAATCTGATTGCTGATATATTCCCATTTTTTGTACTCTTGCTTCAAATAAATGGGTAGAAAATTTTCGTAACAGTAAAATCGTACGGCATTTGATTTGCCAGTAACCCGTCTACTTAAAAGTATAAAATAAGTATTATGCAAACTGATGATCAGAATTATAAGAAGATAGGCATAGACCAATGTTTACCTCAAAATGTTTAGAATCATCTCATAGGTGAAACAAAAAGAACAAAAATATCAAAAACAATTTATTCCACCTGTTTTACTTAATGTTCGTGTTTTGTTTGGTATTTGCATAGTGTTACCTATAGGCTACAAGACATGCAAGAAAAAGTTGATGCATTAGGAGCCATCTATCAGCGCGTAGGTCTCAAGATCAACAAAGAAAAGACAAAATTAATGAGAAACAACAATAACCAAGAGACCTCAGTGACAATAGACGGAAGACAAGCACATGATGTGGAAGTTTGTCTACCTCGGCAGCAAGATAAGCAAATCGTGAGGCACAGAGGAGGACATACGTGCTAGAGTTAATAGAGTCCGCACCGCTTTCACAGTTCTGCAACCCATATGGAAAAATTCTACCAACTCCAACACGAAAAATATTAGGATACATAACTCAAAAGTCAAGGCAGTTTTGCTATATGGAGCAGGGACATGGAGAGTCTCCAAAGCAAGCTCAGCGAAGATACAGACCTTCATTAACAGATGTTTTTTTTTCAAAAGCCCATAACTTGAGTACTATTTCAGATAGATAATAAAAATTCACATGTAAGTAAAATATCTAATTTTCTACCTTCTGACAAATTTTGAGTAGTTTCCTTTGAACGGAAGTAGTAATTTACGCTATTTCCGATTTCTCAAAAAACAAATTCAAGTTTATAAAATACTTATAATATTCCGCACTATTATGCACTTTTATTTGGCGTTCACTTGGTGTGCAATTCTTTTTTTATGAGATTTTATTTTATTTTTATAAGTTTAAGTATTTAAAATGGATTAAAAATCATGTCTATATCCCGAGTTCCCATCACCTGTAGTTTGATATAAGAATATTCGAGAAAGCTTAGGTGAGATCATTCCCGGTTTATTTTTAAATATTTTTATTCACTAAAGCATTATAGTTCCACCAAGAGTATACCGTTTTTCATTTTATCTCGTTTATTACAATATGCGTATCGGCAATGTTGTTTTATTTAAAATGGAAGCGATTTGTAAGCATTTTTAAAAGCCAACAGGACCTCACGAATCTTAAACAACTAAATTAATAGATAAATATCATGGTAGGCCTACACAATAATTAGAATTTAAAAAGTTAATGCACCTAATTTTGTCTAACCTTATGTCATTATCCATTTTTACATGGTCTTGACCTGCGTGTCAAGTTTAAAACAACTCGGTATGGTAGTTTTGTTTAGCGTCGTGTCGTCAATTTTGGACTCAAGGCGCAGCAAATGGAAAAAACAAAGTTGAACTCCGTTATTTGCATTGGATTTAAATTTTAATTATGTTATGTTCTTAACGTTTTGGAACTTGTAAACATTTTAATTTTCAGTTAAATTTGGACAGTCAAGTGTAGGTTCACAGCAATCTGGGTATTTTTTGGTGGTATCGTACGTCGCCGTGCACTCAGGTGGGAAGCCATAAGAACCGCATCTGAAAGAGTGGTAAATACAACAGAAAGATTAATAGTACTCTGTTTATGGTGATAACAGAGCCGTGTTTTTTCAAACGTTACAAATACAATGTAACTACAAGAAATTGGGTCTTTGGAGAATGTATCTAAATAATCTCGCTGAAATAATAACTCTTGTCGGGGATGAATTGGTATTATATTAAAGAACTATCAACAGATGTTTCAAGTTATGAAAAGTGGGGTTCGGAAAAAAGTGTTAGTGTTAGTTTAAAAATGTGTTATAGTTTGTATGTAATATATTTTGCCCGTTGTACAACCAAGTGCGATCTAAAACACTGGCCCAATACGCCCCACTCAAGAAAAAACTATATGGTGTACCCGCGGATCTGGTGACCACAATCCAATTTAACGACGAAGTTAGACATATTGTTTGAATCCTTCTAACATAAACTCAATTAAGAACGCAGAATAAGAAGAAGAGGTTAAACAATGTGTTCTAGTTGGTATGTAATAAAAACTTACGAGAAGCATTGGTAGCCTCCGTCACCACAGTCACAAATCTCACATCCCGGTGGGTACCAGGATTCGCCAACCTTTACTCCATCAGGGCAAGCTCCTGGTAAAACACGGAACTTTAATGTTCATGAAACAAAGCTGTATAATTTATTTTTATTTTTTTTGCAAATATTTATACGGGCAAAACATTTAATACAACTTGTTAAAAATTAAATAACATCTATACATAGATAGAAATGTAGTTTACTTTATGGTACGGATCACATGAAAACAGAAACGAGGATAACTTGCACAAAAAAAGATCCTGAAACAAAATTGATTTTTTTTTCTCTTACCCAGTCCAATCGACGTAGCCGCCGACACATAACCAACTAGACCGAGGCAGACGACGAGAGTTAAAACTATCTTGTTCATGTTGAGACTGGTCTGATCACAGATGATAAGTGGTAACGTTTGCCGGCGTAGACTGAACAACTGACTAGTCGAAACAACTTGTTATATAAACTTTTATTTTGGGTCCAATGTGAAAATTAATTTAAATTTACGCAATTTCCTTTGCCTTGAAAAAAACTAGAAGTAGACAATTGTCGAAAATAAATAGCTCGTTTATTTTCAGACTGTAATTTGAAAAGGTAATCAATTCAGGTACATGGTTGACGACGTAAAACGCTAATTACATTTTAATTTGCTGAGGTGTGTTTTTTTTTGTCACATCGTTATCATGCAAATAAAAGCATTTACAGCCTTTTCTAGTCAGGATCATCATGTGGGATGAGTAATGACAGAGTTCTCTCCCTCGCTTCCCTCTAATTGACTCACAAATTGCTAACCGTCTCATGTTAAGTTTAACTTTGGGGGTTTCAGTCTCAATGGCAGTGTGTTCTGTTAGGGGGTTTATGTCCGTGTGGTTTATGTCCAGTTGGTTTATGCAAGAGAGTGAGGACATGTTGCGGACGGTTTTGTCCAGGGGTTTATGTGGGGGGGGGGGCTGTTATGTCAAGGGGGGGGGGATGGAAGGGAGGGTAGTGTCGAATTCACTAGCTATGAAATATTGAAAAGTAGAGAATCAAACAACTAAATAGCGGCGTATTATACGACGCGGTTTAGCTCATAAGAAATAAATGTCATAAGTTTACTCAAACAGTTTATGTAATAATTCGTTACGTGTTTGTTAGTTACGGGTTACTTTTTGTTACTTTTTGTTACGTTGTGTACTTTGTATATGCTAAATACTTTCGGTCATTATCAAACCTTCCCTTTGTAATTATGTTTGTTTGAATTTCTGCTCTACGTTAATTCAATCGAACAGGTGTCGCCGAGTGAATCATTACCTTATTCCACTGCGACTTAACTAAAATGTTTAGAACAAGTTGTTCGTGATCTAAAAGCTAGAAATGAAATTAATTTACAAACCTTTAGACACAACCGTCTGACACGTAGTCCGACAGGTATGATAAGGTTTACTTATATCTATCTACTTAATACTTTATTGTTTATGTAAAATAATTGTACATTCCTAACTAGGATGTTGGGAATGCAAAATCGTGTTGTTAATACTTTCATAGCACATTACGACACCATACAATAATGTCGCATCTGTAATAATGGTTTTTATCTCCTGTAATAATTATAGATTTACAGGCTGTTGAAGCTGTGATGATGGAAGACGAAAGAAACTATCACGTAAGTTTTAAATTGCATGCGCTTTTTGGTGTGAATTATTTAACGATTTCCGGTAACCGGAAGGAGTGCTTTATTGTTATGGAAATAAAATAACTTGAATACTACTTTATTCAGGTAGATGAAATGTCATACATAAGACCACGATTATATAACTGGATTAATTTGTTTAAATTCTTGATTTCCTTGACATATCCTAAATTTTGTTTTCTAAAAAACTTATAACTTTAGTACTCTTAGGGTGACTAAACAGTATGTATAAAAATTACCTATTTTTCTATCAACATTTGAATAATTTCCGGTAATCAAAAAGGGACACTTTACTCCTTTTCCAATTTCTCAGAAACCGTCAGAATTTGATGATTTTATATCGTAAATATATTCTAAAATCTTTTAAAATCAGACATCCCGTAAAGTACCCCTTTCGGTTACTGGAAATTACCCACGATTCAGAGGATTCAAAAGAATAATATTTTAACCTTTTATGACATTTTTCCCAATTACCTGAAAAGGTACTTATGTTTTCAGTACTTAAGAAACCAGAAATTGAACAAAATACCATCGTATTCAAAGTCGAGGTCAGTCGAGGTCACTTTTGACCCCTCTTCGTGAATTTTTCGGCCAACCGGCACCTGTCCTCGTGTTCTATTGACCCAAGGCAGGATTCTGCCAAAATTTGACGCACCTGCGACGCCGGGAAGTGCCCTGTCGGGTACCCGACTACTTTGCTTTATATATATAGATTTCTTCTTAGTTTCTTGTGACGTCGTTCTCGCTGCCTGTGAAAGTTTAATTTTTGAGTTTTTTATTATATGCATAATGCATGCCTTCCGTACGCATACATTTTACATGCACACATACGTAGACACATAGCCCATTTCATTTGTATATAGTAGATTACATTTTCAACACATCTTGAAAACTTACCTCCGACGAGTTGCGAAGTGTATTGCTACATGTATTTACAGAACTACCCGTAAGCCCAGCTTTTTAAAATAATGTAAAAGATTTATCGTGCTAATATTGCAATATCTTATGTGAAGCTGTCAAATGGCCACTGTCGTAGCAAAGTGTAGTGCACTGACCAATCTTCCATTATAATTTAGTTAGTTCACTTCTCGCGTGTCCTCTGATTCCCGATCAATCCTCTAGCAAATTGGTGTTAAAAATTCTTATTTGTTTAAAGGTGAACTTGAAAATAGAACTTTAGCAATGTCGACAATATGTGCAGTTTTATAAAAAAAATTTGGAAAGCCAATCAAACGTGTTAAATTTTACTTCCATAGTGATAGTAATATAAAGTTAACAAAATAATGTTTTTCCATTCTTGTCTTCTGATTACATTTATTTGAATTAATTTATATTTTAATTCATTCATGAATATAAGAAATTTATGATTGTTTTTAGGGGAAACCTTGGTTGTAAGTTAATTCAAGAAAATAAAGCGGGAGTGATCTCCCCTAAACTTCCTCTAATATTCTTAGATAACAGTAATTGTGATAAAAATTCTTAAGTAAGAAGATGAAAAGTAAAAGCTCAAATTTTCTACCTTCTGTCAAATTTTGAGAAATGTTTGTGGACCAAAACAACTTTTCAGCGATTTCCGGAAGTGTAATTTATTCTATTTTCAATTTTTCAAAAGCCTATAACTTGAGTACTATTGTATATAGATAAATGCAACTTCACATGTAAGTAAAATATCTAATTGTCTGCTTTCTGTCAAATTTCGAGTAATTTCGTTGACCGAAAGAAGTAATTTAGGCTATTTCCGATTTCTCAAAAAACTCATGTGAATTTATAAACTACTAATAATATTCTGCTCTAGTATGAACATTTAATTTGGCGTTTACTTGGTGCGCAATTCTTCTTTCTACGAGATTCTATTCTATTTTAAAAAGTTTAAGTATTTAAAATGGATTAAAATTATGTCTATATCCCGAGTTGCCATCCCCTGTTGTTTCATATAAAAAAAATTCGAGAAAGCTTAGCGGAGATCACTCCCGGTTTATTTTTTTAAATTCCAGGCAAGTGTCCTGAACAAGGCGAACATTGGGTTTCAATTTTCATTACTTTTAAGACTCGCGACATGTGTCATTTACTCAAATTTATGTAATCAAACATCTCGACTTGTAAAATTTGGATTTGCGACAGTTCTTTGATATAAGTAAACGTAATAATAATACTTCATTAGAAAAACCATGAGGAAATTTATTGATAAAAAAATGATCAATATTATTTCGTAACGACCCAATTGCAATTGTTTGCACAAAGCTGAATTGTGATTGAATATACAATGTAGCTTTTGGAGGGTTAAAGAAGTAGCTTCACAAGTCGTAGGTTGTTTGTAAGGTCGGAACCAAGTGACACCATTTAAAGGGTAAAACCAAATAAACAAAAAAATAGTAGAATGTAATTACTAAACAATGCTTTAACCAGTTACTATGGTAGAATATTGAAAGCAAGCGAAGTTTTTGGAAACGGGGTAGGGTAACACCCTCAATTACCACACCGAGTGACACATGCCCTTGTGACGCCACTGACATTACTAAGTGTTAACATAGCCCAACATCAATAACCTGAGTACGACTATACGCCTTGTTGTTTTTCTCCGCTGTTCAGGTGCGGAGTCGCCAACTTTCCCTCTGAATGTACGGTGACCTACGACTACACCAAAAAGTACCCTGCTTGCTGTGATCCTACCCTTGATTGCCCATCGGATTTAAATGAAGATTAAATTGTTTACGTACTTTAAAACGTAATCAAGGGAAAAATTCATTGAAAATAAATAAAATATTTAAATCTAACATAGTTTTACATAGTTTATTCCCACGTTTAATTAACTTGCTTTTGCGTCTGTTTGTTTGGTTCTCCATCAAATCTTGCGATCGAAATTTTGGAGCACTTCCCAGTTAGCTAGCGCGCTGAAATTTTCAGGGAAGCTTTGTTTCCGATGACAATAGAATATTCAATTGTTATTATTACTAAATTGATCCATGGAAACATTTTATTGATCATTTTAGACCACTATATATTTGTACAAAAAAACGTGGGAAAAGGGGACATAACCCAGTCATTGTAATTTGATGAAAACAAGGTTCGGTACTCTCCCTCTTTTGGCTTACGGAGTTTTAGGTCTCGCGGAACAACTGGTGAACAGTATGGGGGAGACGATATGGTCGAGTGGTTGGGCACACGATTGCTAACCCACTCGACACGGGTTCAAGGCACGTGTTTTTTACGAGTTGTCTTCGTTTACCCAAAAAAAAAAGTGAATGCGAAAAGATAAAATCGATAGCAAGATTTTAATGCGAACAAACAGACAAAGACTAAAAAGTAGAAAATAATTATCATTAAAAAAGTTTAAAAAAAACCACGTTTTCTGATTGAACTAAAAAGTAGAAAATAAATGCTATAAATCACAATAATGCAAGCGATCACTCTACTATAAGCGATGAAAAACGTTGGGCGCCGTGATTTTCTTACAGTTTCTAATACAGTTGACTCTCTACAAGCTCCCTAATAAAAGTCAATAGTATTATCTAATCAATAGTAATATAACTTTTACTTCGGCGCCCCACGTTTTTCATCGCTTATAGTAGAGTGATCGCTTGCATTATTGTGATGTTTAGCATTTATTTTATACTTTTTAGTTCAATCAGAAAACGTGGTTTTTTTTAAAAACTTTTTAAATGATAATTATTTTTTTAATTAAAATCATTTATGTAAGTTTAACAAAGAAACGTAAAGGGTTCGTGCCTCACATGGATAAAATTCGGAGAGAGAGAGAGAGAGAGAGAGAGAGAGAGAGAGAGAGAGAGAGAGAGAAGAGAATTATGGAAAAATGTGAAAATTATGGACACACGGACAAGATTGCAAAACTATGTTCTTCCGACAACATGAGTTGCCATTTATCTATTATTTAACTGTGACTCATAGAAATCAAACAAAGCCATCGAATATGTATCAGCGTGTGATTAGGATCAGGCTTACGCTTATCAGTTTACAAGTCAGCATTATGTACAAATGTTCCGGGTTCGATGCAGTTTACGTGTAGTTATTTTCTTATTCTTTTAATGTGAATGTTAAAATACTTTTTAAAAAAATGTTCCATGGTTTAAGTAGGGCCTACATCCGGCCTAACTGTAAAGAGCTGTAGTGTTTATGCACCATAATTATGTTGCAATAATTATTATCCATTGTCATGTCAGTGAAATGTTTTCAGAGAACTATATCAACATTTGTGAAAATGTTAAGAAAAAAGTTCTTTTTTTATATTTTAACCATAAATGACTTTTATGATTATTGTTTTCTTTTTTTTTTTTAATTTCGGCTTTTTATTTGGTGCTTGTTTTGATTAAGTTAACTAATTATTTAAAACATTTACATTATTATAAAGAAATTACATTTTCATTTACTATCGATTAATAAGGGGTTTCTAGGGAAAAAAAAGAAAGATTAAAATGCAGTCTAGATTGACGCTATTTAAATGTTTGCCTTACTTTTGCAGATTATATGTTAACTTTTAAGTTTCAGATTCATCTGACCCCCACATTGTTATTGTATCACACGTGCGCACGTACTAAAAATAAATTGATAAACTCCAAAAAAAATCAGAAAGATGTTAGATTTAATTTTCGTTTACAGCAGAGTTTTAAAATTAAATTTCAGTTGATTGTGTTTAGAATCTTCAAAACACCTTGATTTTTCATTTAATTCTGTGGGCAGTCAAGTTTAGGAACACAACAATCTGGGTACTTTTTGGTCGTGTCGTAGGTAGCCTTGCACTCAGTCGGGAAGCTGACACTACCGCATCTGAAAAGATGTAAAAATAGCAGGGTGAATCAGTGATCTCAAGTTGTCTGTCAGTTCACAATGTTTTCACCATGTCGCAGCTGGCATGTACATCTAATAACAATTCACATAGGAGCACACTAACGATACGTTCATGGGGAATTTTTAAGACAACGTATCTAAAAAAAAAAAGGGGGAGTGATCTCCCCTAAACTTTCTCGAATCTATATATATATAAAGCAATGTATGTCTGTGTGTCTGTGTGTCTGTGTGTCTGTCCTTTATGCATTACTACACCTCTCATCACATCGCCGTGAAACTTTGGGAAGTTGTTGAGAATATTCCTGGGGAGGTTTCTGCGGAAAAAAATATTTCAAATTCGCAGGGGTGGCGCCCCGACAGGGCGCGATTTGTTTTTTTCTATATACGGTATATAAAAATAAAAGTCGATTTTGGTTTGGCATCGTTCATCCGATAGCCATGAGACTTTGGGGAGTTCATTATACCACTCTAGGGAAGGGTTCTGTAAAAAAAATAATTTTTTAATTTCGCAAGGGCGGCGCCACGGGAGGGTCCGATTTTTCTCTATATACGGTATATAAAAATAATAAAAGTAATTGAAGTGACACCGTTCATCCGATAGGCATGAAACTTTTGGGAGTTCATTATAACACTCTAGAAAATGGTTCTGTAAAAAAATAATTTTTAATTTCGCAATGGCGGCGCCACGGGAGGGTGCGATTTTTCTCAATGTAAGCTATATAAAAATAAAACTCGATTTTGGTCTGACACCGTTAATCCAATAAGCATGAAACTTTGGTGAGTTCATAAGAACACTCTAAGGAAGGGTTCTGCAAAAAAAAAAAAGTAATTTGGCAAGGGCGGCGCCACGGGAGGGTGCGATTTTTCTCTATATGCGGTTTATAAAATTTCGGTTTCACACCGTTCATCCGTGTACCATGAAACTTTGGGGGAGATGATTAGATCACTCAATAGTAGGGTTCTGCAAAAAATATTGTTTAATATTGCAAGGGCGGCCACCCCGAGGGGGGACGATTTTTTTTCTCTATACACGGTTTATAAAAAATAAAACTCGGATGCGGTTCATCCGAGTACCATGAAACTTTAGGGAGTAGATGAGAATACTCCCGAGAATATTTCTGCGAAAAAGAAAACTAAAGTTTCTTATGGGCGGCGCCATATAGGGTACAACTTTCGTCAATACACGGTTTGGCGCCCAGAGTATTAGAGCGACTATGTTGGCACTTGGCATCCGTTAATCGAGCGTCCTGCATAGCGAGTAAGTGGTACTACTATATTCAGCGGTAAAACAACAACAGGCTTCTAAAAAATAACTTTGTAACGCGAGGAAATCCTGTACAGTTTCGTCACCTTGCGAAAGATGAAAAAATAACTTTTTAAATATTATCAGCCTACTGTAGAGTTTCGTCACCTTGCGAATGCTGCAATAAGCATCTATTATTATACGACTCAGACAAAAATTGAGATCGAGCATCTAATAATAGAACATTAGTAACACTAGCATATTGCATCAGTCACACTGATGTTTAAAACACGTCAAATAATTTTTTTACGTGTTAAACAAAAATTTCTGTTTATTTGTGTCACTTTAGCGAATGACGAAATCTGCATCATTATTAACAGGATGCTATTTGGCACGATGGCGCCTGTTAGTTTTAAGGAGACAGGGGCCGTACGCTACGCCTATGCGATAGTGTAATCGGGGGGTGGGGGGCTCCTGAGAGCGCCCCTCTACGTCCCTGACACATGGGTGGTCACCGAAGTGTGTTCTACCTCATTATTTCGATGAGTGATTAATGTGCACTCAAGGAAAACCCGTGTCCCGATAATTATTATCCAAGCGCAAGCATTGTTTACATTTAAATAACACAGTTTTAGAAAAGAAGGACACGCGTTTAACAACATATGATTGGTAATGCATTGGTGATATCCTTCTAATATTTTTCGTCAGACTTTCTTCTATATCCGCGGCAACGCGCGGGGGTCGGGTACGCTAGTATTCTTATAAAACACTACAGGGGATGGCAACTTGGGATATAGACATGCTTTTTGATCAATGTTTAAATATTTAAAATAGAATTGAATCTCTAAGGAAAATGAATTACGAACCAACTTAACAGGAAACAATACGAGTAAAACAGTGCGGGACATTAGTATGTTATTATATTCAAATAGCTTTTTGAGAAATCGAAAATAGCTTAAAGTACTACTTCCGGAAATTACAACACATTTGACAGAAAACAGAGAATTAGATCGTTTACTTATATGTGAAATTATTTTGTCTATCAGTGCTCAAGTAATATGATTTTGAAAAACCGAAAGTAGACTAAGTTCCACTTCCGTTTACCGGAAATCGTTGAAAAGTTGATACCGTACTAAAAATGTGATATAATACTAATATATATATATAATATATATATATATATATATATATATATATATATATATATATGTGACATTTCATCAAACTAGCTGTAACGGCACTCAATGTTTCGTGTTGAATGGTAAGCATACACACATCACACACACAACACATACACACACAGACACACGGTCACATTATTGAAAAAATAAGTTTTTTCGACTCAGTGAGGTATAAAACGTCGAGATTTTTGAAAATCTCGAATTCGATTTTTTGCACGATTTCAATATTTCCTTTAATACTTCGTATACGAGAAAGTAATAATTCTCAAAACTTTTCTTCCTGAATAAAATATTAGAATCATATGTCACAAGTAGTGGAAATAAGGCATGTGTGAATGACGAGATAATCTAAATTCTTTTTAATTAGAATAAAATGAATAGACTTACGTGAAGCATTGGTAGCTTCCCTTATAACAGTCACATTTCTGACATCCCTCGGGGTACCACGATTTGCCTGGTTTAACTCCTTTAGGACAAGCTCCTAGTAAAATAAAGAAAATGTACGGTTGAAAAAAACCCAGCAATCACGGTGGTTTTGTTTGTTGGGTGAATGTATTGGAGAAATTTTAAATTTTAAATTAACTTCTAGCGAGTGTGATGGTGTCTACGAGTATATATATATATATATATATATATATATATATATATATATATATATATATATATATATATATATATATATATATATATATATATATCTATATCTATATATATATATATATATATATATATATGCGACATTACCACTATACATTACTCTATAATTTATGTGAAGTCGTTGGAGAGATCTAGACTGCTAAACTGAAAGTCTCGAGTTCGAATCTGTGTTCAACTCAGAAGAATGACTAAGAGTCCACTTATGGGTACCTAACTCATGTTAGTCCTGACTACACTATCCTTTCTAAAGCCGAAGTTTTTAAACATAACTTCATGTGCCCAAAGCATCTGGATTATACTATGAGTAAGGCATCAGACAAATATTTCCGTGCATGCTAGTTAGACACATTAAAGAATATATATATATATATATATATAAATATATATATATATATATATATATATATATATATATATATATATATATATATATATATATATATATATATATATATATATATATATGTATATATATATATATATATATATATATATATATATATATATATATATATATATATATATATATATATATATATATATATATATATATATATATATATATATATATATATATATATATATATATATATATTATGTTTATATATATATATATATATATATATATATATATATATATATATATATATATATATATTAGCCGTCCCGGCCAGGCCCTGCTCTGGCTTCTGTGAAAAACCTTTCTGTTAAAGACCGTTACCTTTGTCTTTAGTAATCATCATAAACCCGGCATTGCCCACCCAAACCACAACCAACCAAAACAACAAAACGCAAACATAACGCTAACACAATTACAAATACAAACGAAAACGAAAACCTAACAACAAACCCAACCACAACCACAAACACCAATACAAACACAAAGAAAAAACAAACAAAAAAGCAAACGAAAACAAAAACCTAACAACAAACCCAACCACAAACACCAATACCAACAACAAAAAAAACAACGAAAAAGCAAACGAAAACAAACCAAATCCAAACGCAAAACCAACCAAAAACACAAATACAAACCCAAACAAAAAAAAACACAAACAAAAACGAAAAAAGAAAGAACAAAAACGAACCAAATCAAAACGCAACCACTAACGCAAACCCACCTAAACACAAAGAAAACACTAACGCGAACATAAACGCCCGGGGCGGAATCACCTGTTTTAGCTTAATGAACGACTATAGTACCCCAACTTATTCATAGTCTTTTGCACTCACTTAAACGAACGCGCCTGTTTCAATTTAATGAACAATTTTAATACTCCAAGCTTATCCGTAAAATACCTACAACATTTGCTTTGATCAATCCCCGCTAATTATGTAATTATTTTTTTCCCAACACCAAAACAAAGTAATTAAAAAGTAAATTATTTTCCACAAAATGCAATGGTTTTATAAAGGGAAGTAATTTTGTTTTCCTAATTTATCAAAGGGAAGTAAGTGCTATAGGACTAAATAAAGACATAATTAGAATTTTTGTAAAAGATGATATTTTTTTAAAACTTGTGTTGAATAAACATGCCGACAATTATTATTTTAATTTGAAAAATGAAAATTATTTCCCAACACTTTCAATAATAATTTTTTAGCTCATAAATTTAGACAAATGCGCACGATAATTTTCTAACACTTAAATTAATGCAAGACCAACGACAAACATATGTATTACATACAGAACTGAGCTTTATATATTAGATATATATATATATATATATATATATATATATATATATATATATATATATATATATATATATATATATATATATATATATATATATAGGCCTACTTCTCTTCTTGGAGACGTTAGAAAACAAGCTGTAAGCGCGCTTTGCAGTCTCCTCTCTTCCTCTCTAGTATGATACGCCGCGGGTCGGCTCGTATAATTAATTAATCTTACCCTTTCCCCGCATGACAGCTGACAGCACGCAGCCAACAAGACCGAGGCAAACGGCAAGAGTTATAATTAACTTGCTCATGTTGAGACTGGTCTGATAATGAATGACCTGTGCATGAAATATTTGCTCGTGTAGATTGTACATCATATTGTCCCCAACCACGCATTATATAGGCCTAAGTTAGCTATCACTTTCTAAAATTAACTTAAATAAATTATGCTAATCCGAACATTTTAATTAACTAAATATTGACATTGGGCATAAAAAGCGGACGGATTATTTTCAAAGTGTAATTGAAGTAAGGATTAACGTATGAACGAAATGAACCATTAATAATGTATTAGTTTATTAAAGCTGACATTTTTATGCTGCTTTCTCAAAAAGCAAACATCGATTCATATTATGAAAATCTGGTATGTTTGTGTTTGTGTGTGCGTATGTGAGCGTGGGTGTTTCACTTGAAATTTCTTCCACCTAATTGATATCGGATTCAACGTCTCGTGTAAACAAAATACACACACACATATGGTTAAGTTTTTACATTTGGTTAAGTGTTTTACATATTGTTAAGTGTTTTACATATGGGTAAGTGTTTTACATATAGTTAAGTGTTTTACATTTGATTAAGTGTTTTACACGTGGTTAAGTGTTTTACATTTGGTTAAGTGTTTTACATTTGATTAAGTGTTTTACATATGGGTAAGTGCTTTACATATGGCTAATGCTTTACATATGGTTAAGTGTTGTACATATGGTTAAGTATTTTACGTATAGTTAATTGTTTTACACAGTGTTGCATTAATCACATGGTGTAGCCTAGGTGTTTTACAAATGGTGGTTTCGTTTTTGTTATTTTTAAAAATTAGTATTTGTGTAATTGATTATCCAAACCACCTTCGTTCAATAATTAAATCTCGACAACTCGTGGAATCAAGTTACACTCTGCCATTACTTGGGCCCCCGCATATCACTGCTGCATCGAACACGTTAATCTTACAATCACAAACATGTTGGTGTGAAAATTGTGAAATAGCGCTCTTCGTATTTCAAATGCAACATGTGTTGCCATTTAACTATTATACAACTGTGACTCATTGGAATCCAACTTAAGTTTTCAAACATATCATCGAATATCTATCAGCGTGTGATTAGGATCAGGCTTACGTTTGTCAGTTTAAAATTAGCATTATGTACACATGTACCGGGTTCGATACATTTTACTTGTAGTTAGTTTGTTATTCTTTTAATGAAAATTTTAAAATACTTTTAAAAAAAAATGTTCCATGTTTTAAGAAAGGCCTACTACCGGTAATGTTGTAAACAGCCGTAATGTTTAAGTTTAAGCGTCTATATGTTGCCATAATAAATATACATTGCCATGGCCGTGAAATGTTCTCAGAGAACTATTACAACATTCGTGATCATGGTATAGAAAAAAAGTGTTCATTTGTTATATTTTAGCCATAATGGACTATTATGATTATTGTTTATATGATTATTGTTTATCTGTTTCTTAATTTCGGTTTTTTTATTTGGTGCTTGTTTTGATTATGTGGACTAATTGTTTGAGAATTATATAAAACATTTAGGTTATTATAAAGAATTTACATTTTGTTTTAAATAGCCTAATATTATCGTTTAATAATAGTTTTCTAGGATATAAATAAGCTAGTTAAAGTGCAGTATGGAGTGATAATATTTGAATATTTAACTCAATTAAGAGATTGCTTGAAAGTTACATTTTGCAGATTTTAAGTTAACTTTTATGTTTGAGATCCATCTCGCTCACTTCCCGAATGTTTTTATTGTATTACACATGCGCTAGTTCTTAAAATGAATTGATAAACTCAAATCAATCAGAAGAAAGACGTTAGATTTTATTTTCGTTTATTTAAATTGATTTTTAAAATTAAATTTCGGTTGATTTTTTTTTCTATTCTTTAAAGCATCGTGACCTTTTGTTTAAATCTGTGGGCAGTCAAGTTTAGGACGACAGCAATCCGGGTACTTTTTGGTCGTGTCGTAGGTAGCCTTACACTCAGGTGGAAAGCGGATGCTACCGCATCTGAATAAAGATGTAAACATAGCAGTGTTAATTAATGATCTCAAATTATGATCGAATAGATGCCAGATAATTCTGTCAATTTACAATGTTTCCACCATGTCGCAGCTGTAAATCTTATTACACTTCCAATATGTTCACAAGGATTTTTTAAGACAACATGCCTAAAAATAAATCGGGAGTGATCTGCCCTAAACTTTCTCGAATATTCTTTTATAACACTACTGGGGATGGCAACTCGGGATATAGACATGCTTTTTAATCAATTTTTAAAAATTTAACTTTTAAAATTAAAATTGAATCTCGTAGAAAAAAGAAATGAGCACCAAGTGAACAGCAAACAATACGTGTAAAATTAAAATAGTAAGGAATAATATCACTTTATAAATTCATATAAGTTTTTGAGAAATCGGAAAAAGATTAAAGTACTACTTCCGGGCACCGGAAATTACAAAACTTTTGACGGACACCAGAGAAGTAGATCTTTTACTTATATGTGAAATTTCGTCTTTCTATCAGAAAAAGTATTTAAGTAATATGCTTTTGAAAAACCAAAAGCAGACTAATTTTCACTTCCGGTTACCGGAAATCGCTGAAAAGTTGGTACCGAACAACAAATTTGATAGAATACTAATATATATGACATTTCATCATCCTAGCTGTAGAGGTACTTAATGTATCGTGATCAAAGACAAGCATACACACATCACACACACAGACATACGGACACAATTGCAAAACTAAGTTTTTCCGACTCATGGCGGTATAAAACGTCGATTTTTTTCACGATTACATACAACCTTCATACTTCGTTTATAATCTCGCTGAAAAAATAATTCTTGTCTTGGATGAACTAGTGGTATATTAAAGAACTATGAACAGATGTTTCAAGTTATGAAAAGTGGGGTTCGGAAAAAAGTGTTAGCGTTAGTTTAAAAATGTGTTATGGTTGCTATGAAATATATTTTGCCCCTTGTACAATCAAGCGCGATCTAAAACACTGGCCCCATACGCCCCACTCAATGAAAAAACTATATGGGGCACCCGCGGATCTGGTGACCACAATCCAGTTTAACGTCGAAGTTAGACATATTGTTTGAATCCTTCTAACATAAATTCAATTAAGAACGCAGAAGAAGAAGAAGAAGTTAAACAATGTGTTCTAGTTGGTATGTAATAAAAACTTACGAGTAGCATTGGTAGCTTCCACCATTACAGTCGCATCGCTGACATCCCGATGGGTACCAGGATTCGCCAACCTCTACTCCATCTGGGCAGTCTTCTGTTAAAATCAAAGAACTTAAATGTTTAGGAAACATAGCTGTATAACCTTTTTTGCGACTATTTGTACGGGCAAAACATTTAATGCAACTTTTAAAAGAATAAAAAAAATTCTGTATATTGATAAAAATGCAGTTCCCTTTCTGGTACGGATCACATGAAAACAGAAACAAAAAAGACTTGCAAAAAAAATCCTGAAAACAAAATTGAAATTTTTCTCTTACCCATTGCATAATACGTAGCAGCCGACACGTAACCAACCAGACCGAGGCAGACGGCAAGAGTTATAATTATCTTGCTCATGTTGAGACTGGTCTGACAATGAATGACCTGTGCGTGAAATTTTTGCTCGTGTAGATTGTACCTCATATTGTCCCCAACCACGCATTATATAGGCCTAAGTTAGCTATCACTTTCTAAAATTAACTTAAATAAATTATGCTAATCCGAATATTTCAATTAACTAAATATTGACATTGGGCATAAAAAACGGACGGATTATTTTCAAAGTGTAATTGAAGTAAGGATTAACGTATGAACGGAATGAACCATTAATAATGAATTAGTTTATTGAAGCTGTCATTTGTATGCTGCTTTCTCAAAAAGCAAACATCGATTCATATTATGAAAATCTGGTATGTTTGTGTTTGAGTGCGTATGTGAGCGTGGGTGTTTCACTTGAAATTTCTTCCTCCTAATTGATGTCGGATTCAACTTCTCGTGTAAAAAAATACACACACATATGGTTAAGTGTTTTACATTTGGCTAAGTGTTTTACATATGGTTAAGTGTTTTACATATGGTTAAGTGTTTTAATTATGGGTAAGTGTTTTACATATAGTTAAGTGTTTTACATTTGTTTAAGTGTTTTACATATGGGTAAGTGTTTTACATATGGTTAAGTTTTTTTACATTTGGTTAAGTGTTTTACATATGGCAAAGTGTTGCACATGTGGGTAAGTGTTTTACATTTGGTTTAGTGTTTTACATATGGGTAAGTGTTTTACATATGGATAAGTGTTTTACATATGGGTAAGTGTTTTACATATAGTTAAGTGTTTTACATATGGCTAAGTGTTTTACATATGGGTAAGTGTTGTTCATATGGCTAAGTGTTTTAGATATGGTAAAGTGTTTTACGTATAGCTAACTGTTGTACAGTGTTGCAGTAATCACATGGTGTAGCCTAGGTGTTTTACAAAATGTGGTTACGTTTTTTGTTATATTTAAAAATTAGCGTTTGTGTAATTTATTATCCAAACCATTTTCGTTCAATAATTTAATCTCGACAACTCGTGGGTTTCCCTCAGCAATTACTTGGGCCCCCGCATATCACAGCTGCATCGAACACGTTATTCTTACAATCACAAACATGTTGGTGTGAAAATTGTGAAATAGCGCTCTTCGTATTTCAAATGCAACATGTGTTGCCATTTAACTATTTTACAATTGTGACTCATTGGAATCGATCTTAAGTTTTCAACCGAAACCATCGAATATCTATCAGCATGTGATTAGGATCAGGCTTACGCTTGTCAGTTTAAAATTAGCATTATGTACAAATGTACCGGGTTCGATACATTTTACTTGTAGTTAGTTTGTTATTCTTTTAATGAAAACTTTACAATACTTTTAAAAAATAAATGTTCCATGTTTTAAGTAGGGCCTACTGCCGGCAATGTTGTAAACAGCCATAATGTTTAAGTTTAAGCGTCTATATGTTGCCATAATAAATATACACTGCCATGGCCGTGAAATGTTTTCAGAGAACTATTTCAACATTCGTGATCATGGTATAGAAAAAAAGTGTTCATTTGTTATATTTTAGCCATAATGGACTATTATGATTATTGTTTATATGATTATTGTTTATCTGTTTCTTAATTTCGGTTTTTTTATTTGGTGCTTGTTTTGATTATGTGGACTAATTGTTTGAGAATTATATAAAACATTTAGGTTATTATAAAGAATTTACATTTTGTTTTAAATAGCCTAATATTATCGTTTAATAATAGTTTTCTAGGATATAAATAAGCTAGTTAAAGTGCAGTATGGAGTGATAATATTTGAATATTTAACTCAATTAAGAGATTGCTTGAAAGTTACATTTTGCAGATTTTAAGTTAACTTTTATGTTTGAGATCCATCTCGCTCACTTCCCGAATGTTTTTATTGTATTACACATGCGCTAGTTCTTAAAATGAATTGATAAACTCAAATCAATCAGAAGAAAGACGTTAGATTTTATTTTCGTTTATTTAAATTGATTTTTAAAATTAAATTTCGGTTGATTTTTTTTTCTATTCTTTAAAGCATCGTGACCTTTTGTTTAAATCTGTGGGCAGTCAAGTTTAGGACGACAGCAATCCGGGTACTTTTTGGTCGTGTCGTAGGTAGCCTTACACTCAGGTGGAAAGCGGATGCTACCGCATCTGAATAAAGATGTAAACATAGCAGTGTTAATTAATGATCTCAAATTATGATCGAATAGATGCCAGATAATTCTGTCAATTTACAATGTTTCCACCATGTCGCAGCTGTAAATCTTATTACACTTCCAATATGTTCACAAGGATTTTTTAAGACAACATGCCTAAAAATAAATCGGGAGTGATCTGCCCTAAACTTTCTCGAATATTCTTTTATAACACTACTGGGGATGGCAACTCGGGATATAGACATGCTTTTTAATCAATTTTTAAAAATTTAACTTTTAAAATTAAAATTGAATCTCGTAGAAAAAAGAAATGAGCACCAAGTGAACAGCAAACAATACGTGTAAAATTAAAATAGTAAGGAATAATATCACTTTATAAATTCATATAAGTTTTTGAGAAATCGGAAAAAGATTAAAGTACTACTTCCGGGCACCGGAAATTACAAAACTTTTGACGGACACCAGAGAAGTAGATCTTTTACTTATATGTGAAATTTCGTCTTTCTATCAGAAAAAAGTATTTAAGTAATATGCTTTTGAAAAACCAAAAGCAGACTAATTTTCACTTCCGGTTACCGGAAATCGCTGAAAAGTTGGTACCGAACAACAAATTTGATAGAATACTAATATATATGACATTTCATCATCCTAGCTGTAGAGGTACTTAATGTATCGTGATCAAAGACAAGCATACACACATCACACACACAGACATACGGACACAATTGCAAAACTAAGTTTTTCCGACTCATGGCGGTATAAAACGTCGATTTTTTTCACGATTACATACAACCTTCATACTTCGTTTATAATCTCGCTGAAAAAATAATTCTTGTCTTGGATGAACTAGTGGTATATTAAAGAACTATGAACAGATGTTTCAAGTTATGAAAAGTGGGGTTCGGAAAAAAGTGTTAGCGTTAGTTTAAAAATGTGTTATGGTTGCTATGAAATATATTTTGCCCCTTGTACAATCAAGCGCGATCTAAAACACTGGCCCCATACGCCCCACTCAATGAAAAAACTATATGGGGCACCCGCGGATCTGGTGACCACAATCCAGTTTAACGTCGAAGTTAGACATATTGTTTGAATCCTTCTAACATAAATTCAATTAAGAACGCAGAAGAAGAAGAAGAAGTTAAACAATGTGTTCTAGTTGGTATGTAATAAAAACTTACGAGTAGCATTGGTAGCTTCCACCATTACAGTCGCATCGCTGACATCCCGATGGGTACCAGGATTCGCCAACCTCTACTCCATCTGGGCAGTCTTCTGTTAAAATCAAAGAACTTAAATGTTTAGGAAACATAGCTGTATAACCTTTTTTGCGACTATTTGTACGGGCAAAACATTTAATGCAACTTTTAAAAGAATAAAAAAAATTCTGTATATTGATAAAAATGCAGTTCCCTTTCTGGTACGGATCACATGAAAACAGAAACAAAAAAGACTTGCAAAAAAATCCTGAAAACAAAATTGAAATTTTTCTCTTACCCATTGCATAATACGTAGCAGCCGACACGTAACCAACCAGACCGAGGCAGACGGCAAGAGTTATAATTATCTTGCTCATGTTGAGACTGGTCTGACAATGAATGACCTGTGCGTGAAATTTTTGCTCGTGTAGATTGTACCTCATATTGTCCCCAACCACGCATTATATAGGCCTAAGTTAGCTATCACTTTCTAAAATTAACTTAAATAAATTATGCTAATCCGAATATTTCAATTAACTAAATATTGACATTGGGCATAAAAAACGGACGGATTATTTTCAAAGTGTAATTGAAGTAAGGATTAACGTATGAACGGAATGAACCATTAATAATGAATTAGTTTATTGAAGCTGTCATTTGTATGCTGCTTTCTCAAAAAGCAAACATCGATTCATATTATGAAAATCTGGTATGTTTGTGTTTGAGTGCGTATGTGAGCGTGGGTGTTTCACTTGAAATTTCTTCCTCCTAATTGATGTCGGATTCAACTTCTCGTGTAAAAAAATACACACACATATGGTTAAGTGTTTTACATTTGGCTAAGTGTTTTACATATGGTTAAGTGTTTTACATATGGTTAAGTGTTTTAATTATGGGTAAGTGTTTTACATATAGTTAAGTGTTTTACATTTGTTTAAGTGTTTTACATATGGGTAAGTGTTTTACATATGGTTAAGTTTTTTTACATTTGGTTAAGTGTTTTACATATGGCAAAGTGTTGCACATGTGGGTAAGTGTTTTACATTTGGTTTAGTGTTTTACATATGGGTAAGTGTTTTACATATGGATAAGTGTTTTACATATGGGTAAGTGTTTTACATATAGTTAAGTGTTTTACATATGGCTAAGTGTTTTACATATGGGTAAGTGTTGTTCATATGGCTAAGTGTTTTAGATATGGTTAAGTGTTTTACGTATAGCTAACTGTTGTACAGTGTTGCAGTAATCACATGGTGTAGCCTAGGTGTTTTACAAAATGTGGTTACGTTTTTTGTTATATTTAAAAATTAGCGTTTGTGTAATTTATTATCCAAACCATTTTCGTTCAATAATTTAATCTCGACAACTCGTGGGTTTCCCTCAGCAATTACTTGGGCCCCCGCATATCACAGCTGCATCGAACACGTTATTCTTACAATCACAAACATGTTGGTGTGAAATTGTGAAATAGCGCTCTTCGTATTTTGAATGCAACATGTGTTGCCATTTAACTATTTTACAATTGTGACTCATTGGAATCGAACTTAAGTTTTCAAACGAAACCATCGAATATCTATCAGCATGTGATTAGGATCAGGCTTACGCTTGTCAGTTTAAAATTAGCATTATGTACACATGTACCGGGTTCGATACATTTTACTTGTAGTTAGTTTGTTATTCTTTTAATGAAAATTTTAAAATACTTTTAAAAAATAAATGTTCCATGTTTTAAGT